TCTTCTTCCACACATTGCAGTCGACAAGAACCCTCTGAATCCACTTCTATTTCTCTAATAACACTTCCATTGAGGCGTCTTCCTCTTATTTCTCTGGCGAAGTTAACCGCTTTGAAGTTTGGTGTTATCATTCGAATGTCTCCGTTTGTGAACGAAATCAACAAGAAGCTTAAAAGGAATTGTACCTTCACGCCTTCCATCTCGAACGAACCCTCAACTTGACGAGTTGTACACCTCTGATAAAGTTTCTTTATCTTGCGAAAAGTAAGAAATAAAATATTAATGACATTACTCGCCTTTTTCAATTGAAAAACTTGCATAATTTGCCTGATTTACTGTATTTAATTTTGTCAACAATGCAGTACCTCGTTACGTATAGTTTTGTTAATCACTTTAGAGGAACTATAGATACATGCGTTTCTTCTAAATAACCTTCAAGGTTACTTTACACCCTCAGAGGCCGAAAAAATCGTTTTTTCTTTTATTGAACCAGATTGAAGTTAGACATTTGACCTAATGTTTGCAAAAAGAAAAATTTTAAAATCCCAAAAAGCGTCCGACCTATTTAGGAAAACTTATTTTTAAGTAAAAGTTAATAAATTAGGAGGGCGTCATAATCTCTTAAATGGGCGAACCTCCTGAGGGAATATTCGCGGCAATTTCATGCTACGTGAAAGTTCTCTGCTAGGGGAAAGTGTTTTCTCATAGATAAAAAAACAGAACTCAAAATTAGAGAGGAGTTCGTGGGTAAAGAAAAAGAAAAAGAAAAAAAACAGGCCTAAATAAGAAAGAGAAGGCACCATTTTATCAGGAAAAAATACCAGTTCTGGCACTCCTCTGTACGCTGGCAACCAAATTACGAACAAAGAAGTCGCCATCAAATCTACCTTTGTCCTACATAAGGTTAAAAACGAAGTTCCTTTTAATTGGCAAGTATCGGCGTTGATACAGAACATAGGCAGTCCCCTCGAATCGTATGAAATCATGAATAAACCTACCCGAGGGAACTCATTTCAGTCTGTTTTGCTTTTCAACAATTTCTCTAGCTTTACCTTTTTTGCCGCGGGTCTTTTGTTTGCCAATTTTGCCCATTACTTAACGTCGAGCAGAGTGAGACAAAAAAAAAACGTGACTGCTATGCGATACTTTCGTCAATGACGCCAGGAGGTCCCGTCTTCCCACTGTCTTCCCATTGGTTCGCGGTTTCAGGAGGCGAGATAATCTCCTTTGTGGTGCTAGTTGTTAACAAACCTTTAGGAGCTAAAATCTCGGATTTGATTTTGAGAGGTACACACCCACTTTAAGCGAATTTATAGGGTATGCAGAATTGACCGATTTTCGTGAAATATCGCCAGGGATAATGACGAACGAAAGTGTCAGGAAAGTTTGATAATTGAAATGTTTTTCACGTTGTGTCCATTTACGCAACACAATTCGCATATTTTTACGCTACTCTAACTGTTTAGATGCGGATATCTAGACAACCAATCAGAATATCGGAAAAGCTTGAAACAGTTTTTTTGATTGATGCCTTGTGAATAAGATGTGCAGTCATTTTGCTCGTGCTGTGGGATCCAATACCCGATAAATTCAGCAGAAGGACCCTCGGTCGTTTCACGCCTTACCAGCTCCTGCTACTCACTAAATGAAAAAATCGTCTAAATTACATTTTTATCGTAAACTGCAGTTATTAAGCTTTCTTTTGATGTATTGTTTGTTAAGGTCTTGTTGAAACTAGCGCGCGTACGAATTTTTTCCCGAAGGACACCTGCGAAAGCGGGAACTAAATTCTTGACCTTNGTAAATAATTCAGCGATGAAGGTTTAATCTCAGAATACGAGTGAATTAAACACTTTTTTTTTGGTTTTTGAACCAAGACCCACGATGCTATTCCTCAAGTTGTCATATGTAAATTATGGCTTCGGATCTGTGAGTCTCTAATAGTTCCAGGTAAACAACTTAATTGATGATGATGGCGAATAATTGCCCAAAGACTTAACAGTCCGATAGAGCGACATACATTAACGTAGCATAATTTATTTCTTGTCTGTAAGGTGATACTAACGTGCTATCGAAATGTTGCATGATAGCTTTTCCTTTGAATAAATACTTATTTGACTACCTTTGGTTTTTCTCCTTTTATTTCCCATTCCTCTGCGATATAATTATGTCACAAAAGGATGTTTCAGCATTTATTACGGCTGGCAAATGGAAGCTGGTCTCCTTTCAACCCTTAAGGATTTAATGAGCTTTAATGTAGATGCTATACACCCTATGCATAACGAGAAGAGACTGGGAGTGATGAACGTGAAAATGAGGCTAGTTGGGCCTTGTTTGCTTGTGTTAGAAATATGGCTCCTCATGACTCTGTAAGTAGCCGTCTTTCTCAGATTCTTACGGAGGAAGATATCCCAGGAGCATCACTTCAAGGAAGAAATCCGAATGCTCTTAAATCAGATGAACTTCGTTTTCGGTTAAAATGTCGTGGCGATGCAGCAAAGGGGTTAAAATCAAAGGCACAATTGGCGAAAAGGCAAGTACAGTATTTGTCAGTCGTGCGTGATACTTCTTAGAATTAAACAGATTTTGATATCGTAAATGAAGATCAAAGGATTTTAGGAATGACTTTTCCAAATGAAATGTTTATGAAATGATTAATAGTTTTTCTGCTTTTCATTTCAAAGAGTTCTTGAATATGTTGCGTCTGGTCGTGATAAAGATGTTGTGGATCCCGATAAAAATCTGATATACACGCGTCGGAAGGAGAGACAAGAACAACTCGCTCAAAGTGATGCGATGCCTGAGGAAAGAACTGTTAAATTTCCATCAGCTGGATGGTCTACAAATTTGCAACGCATGCCATTATTCTCAAGGGCAGAGATGGATTTACATATTTCTAAATCTGGAAAAAACTTGGACAAAAATAAACAGAACCATGCGGTTCCAACAAGCATGAAAAAGGCAAAAACATTTCTCGTTGATGAATATCTGAAGGACTTAACTTGCGCAAGTGACGACATGTCTTCTTCTCTTTGCTTCACCTAGTCGTGCTCAGAATGATTAACCTGTTATTCTGATGAGTTTTTATAGGCTATTCTGACAGGTGAATCCTAATTTAACTTTAGTCTGCCGGCATTGCAAAAGTGTTGCGTGGATATGAAATAACAAAGAAGCTGTGACATAACAAAGAAGCCGACCACACTGAACGCCTGAAATAGTCTCAAGTGGACGCCTCCGGACTTTGTAACAATCAAATTAAGGATGCCAGCCTAAATATTTGGACCTTTTTGTAACATCATTTTACTAAATGTTATTGTTAGGGCGTTTCAATATATACCCATTAAAGACTGTGTCTTAATTATTTTTTAATGCTTATATCTTAGGATATAATTACTTCGCTAATACCTTGTTCCACCAGTATACTCTTATACAAATATCTACTGTAATTAATCAGACGGTACGACATGAACGAATGAAGATATAAATGTACACAGTGGCCACATTGATATCACTATATTAATGATTCATGTGAGAGTAAAACAAAAAAAAACCTAAGCCAGTGTTTGTAAGAAAATATCCTAAAACTTTTGTTAAACTACGGAATAACAGAGAGACAAGAGATCTTTTTGCAATGAATTTATTTGTTTTCTCTTATTGTAGTTCACCGGTTGCCTCAAATGGGTGTCAAATAAGTACGAGATCTAAGTTTACTTTATAACTGAAATTAAACTCCGTTCGATTTTAGATCTGATGCTAATAGCTGCCATTTAAGGACAATGACCTTCAAAAGCTGTAATTACAATATGTAAATTACTATGATCCACATATTATGAGAATTCAGTCAGGTACGTGGGATCATTTTCATTAGAGCTATTTCTTATGCACTGGTTAACGGGAAGTTCCTGAGTCGGTTGAATTGTAACANNNNATATAATTAATCCAAGAAAGGAATGTTCTGCTTACTGTCGATTGTGAAATACCAAACAAGTGAGCCAGATGTTTTTCTGAAAATCCTCTTCTCAGTCTGCACAGAACAAGGAAGAACTCCTCTCTGGGTTCTAAGCTTCTTCGTCTACCTATGCTAGTACATCCCTCTGGTTCCTCGTTTCCACCATCGTAAAACTCCTTTTGGACAGTTCTTTCTTTTGATGAACAGTACCTGACGTTTTCTCCTTTCGATCCAGTATTTAAAAATTCAAGCACAGCATTAAATGTTGCTAAGTTAGGAAATCCCGTATAAAAGGCAATGTCCTCGTCGGTAGTAAAATTGCGTGGTTGAAAAAAGCGGGAAAGTTTAAGACTCAACTGGCGTTTTAATACCTCTATTTCACCTTTTAAGTTCGCATTTTCGAGTTCAAAACCTCGAATACTTTCAAGTTCTTTAACTTCTCCCGTTTGATCTCCACAGGAATTCAAGCTGCTTTTCACATAATGATAACTAATAGCTGCTGATGAAGTACAGGTTTCAAAAGTTGCTTTAGCTGCATTTGCAGTTGTTTGACTTTGACATTGAGATTGTTGCAACTCCTTGTTTGAACACCCTGTTATAGAAGAAAGATTGCGACATTTAGGAGGTGCTCTCTTTTTCGGAGAACCTGCTTTGGACCACGAAAATGGAGATGGAATTACCCCTGCCTTTACATAAACACGCTGACCTCCAGCAGCTTTAACAAAGTCCTCGGGCTTAAAATGACGAGAACAGATCTTCGTGTTTTCGCTGACTCTAAACTCTTTTCCTTCGTCTCGACGAATGGCATGGAGCCAACGCTTTTTGAGGATAGTGTCCTCCGGAAATTTAAAGTAAGAAATTTTCTCCCCACTTTCGGTTCTGCACTTCTTTTTGGTACAGTTTGGCACACAACAGTTTTGCGGCATTATCAAAAACTGGCGCTCATCACGTCAGGCGGCCATTTTTATTTACTTGGCCCAACTAGCCTCGTTTTCAAGTTAAACGCTCCCGTTCTCTTTTCGTTCTGTACAGTCTGCTTAGGGTGTTTATAATGAAAGACTCTTAACCCACCATGCTTCAGGTGGCCACTGTTTGTAGGGAGCTCCTTTCTTGATGAGGCAGAACAGTGATCCAAAGTTAGAGTCGGATTTCAAAGTCTAAAATACTTAACGACTTTACTTTAATCAGTTGACGTGGAGAGCGTGGCTGTACACGGTGTCATTTTAGAGTAGTATTTTAGAGTAGTAAGTTTTTCGTTTGAAAATACCGTTAATTAACTTTTTTCGAAGCACTCCAAAAATAATCCATTTGATCCAGCCCTTTTAATATAAATATTTCATGTTTTCAAAACATATCTTCTTACGTTTCTCTCTCCACTGACTGATTGTATTTCACAATAACTTATGTTTAGTTTAGTTTATTAGCTTCGCTGACCGGCAGGGACACCGCAACAGCTTGCGCCAATTGCTGCGGGCCCAGTAGACCCACCTATTCCACCTCAGGGGAGGACATCCATCACACAGTAATCTCGTGCGTGGGAAATTAACATCTCCTACCCCCAACCCTGCAGGAGACGGGACCTCCATTTATTCGTCCCTATCTGAGAAGACTAGAATATCTAACCATTTCTTGATGTTATAGAAAGGCAGCAAATTCTTCTCAATTATTTTAAGACCTTGAGTGTTGTCCGGCCGGGGCTCGAACCCTCGACCTCCCGCACAACAGGCCAGCGCACTATCCATTGGGCTAACTGGGTGGCGGCGGGTTATATACTATATCATATGCATTTAAGTGTATCGCGCAATTAGAGAATGTAAATTCTTTCTCTTTGGCCATCGTAGCTTCATGAAAAATAGCACATGCTTGTAATTGCAGTTTGTGTGCTATTTCTTATCAAGAATGTAAATTGTTTTTCCATCTTCCTCAATGGAGACAGGCACAAACAAAGAAGTTTCCAAAGCGAATAAAGTAGGCCCAGAAAGAGTTACAAAAATATCTTGCGCTTTATATTGTAGCAGAAAAGTTATCTAGTAAGATACTAGGCACACTTTCATTGGTTGATAACTGGTATGTTTGGACCGGCGAGAGCATATAAACACCTGCGAGGCTTCTCGAGTTTTTTGAGGAGTGTGTTTAGTGGCAAACAGTGGGAGACATTTTCTGTGTTTATTCATAGAGCGTCATGTAAACATTAGGTAGGTTGGAAGGATTCTTGAAAGTTATGCAAACCTTTTACTTCGTCTTTGATATACACAACTGTCACGAGGTTCACCCCGCCCCCAGACTACTTAGATGAGCATACATTGTTTACTGAATTTGAGAATATTTTCAAAATTAAGTGGATCATTGATTTGATTACTTGCAAACTAAGGTAATGATGAGTGCATGAAAGAACAGCATATCACTACCTGTACAGTTCTCTCCATGATTAAAAAATTTAAAAAGTACCCTTGAAATGTGTGATGAATACACAAGTTTGATTTCATAATGAACAGCAATGCCAATTTTATGTTTAAAGTTTAGTTGAAATTTATGATAAGAAACAGATTTCACCAAAGCTTGTTGGGGGGTTGTTCAAAAATGTGCAAGTTCCAGCATGATTACTCTTGGGAAATGTGTAAAAACTCACAAGATGTTAAAAGTTGTTAGTTATGAGTCTGTAGAAAAAGCAAAATAGTAGTCACGCTTGATTCAAAATTTTTATACCTAGGAAGTACAACAAGTTTTTAATGTTTGAATTTCAGGTCGTTTTGTTGTCAAACAGACCCAACTGTGTTGTGTTGGATGCCTGAAGATGTTGTTGGCTATATTACTGACAAACATTACAGTTAGGTCAAGATTTTGGCCAGGAAATCCAGCTGGTGATTCTTTTACTTGTACATATATTTTTGACCAACAACTGTTTTTTACACTTACACAACTTGCAGATGCGAATGCATGGGACTTAATAATAATTATTAAATCCATAAATGTGAGAGGAAATCATATGAAAGCTTTCCTGTAAAGGTCTTTTTAGCAACAATGTTGAAAAATACAATGCAAATTCTGAATAAAAAACTAACAGAATTAAAAATCATTACTTTAAAAATCAAGGTAAGAATATAAAAAATAGAGTCTGCCTGGGAGTTTGTCAAGAGTTTCAGAAAGGATTTAGAGAGAGCTGTTTTGTACTGTGATTCTTGTATTGAAGGTGACTTAAGTTTTAGCCAGGCTGTTATTTTTATTTCAACTAAGTCTCTCAAAGAAGGCTTTGGGGTTGAAGTGATCATGAAGTTTTTTTTGTGAGATAAAAGTATGTAGGGCTTTAGCCTCAATGCACAGGACATTGAACAAGTATATTATAACTTCAATATCTGTGTAATCCCTTCAATCATGAGCATAAATCCTTGGTTATTATGTTACAGCGTTACTTTCAATAGATTTAGTCTAAACACCCCAAAATGAAAAAGAAAACAGTGATATACATGTATTGCAACCAAAGAATATATTCCAATTACCTAATGGAACTAACTAATGAAACTTGCTAAGAAGATTAGCAGCAAATCAAAGCCATGAAGGATAAGATAAGGACAAAATAAAAGCAGCAATAAAATGTATAGGTACAGTATGTGATATTTATAATAGATACTAGTGATCTGACCACAAATGTTAGGCAATGAATTTATCAAATTACTCGAATTTGTTGTACATCATGGTGATTACCTGGTATATTATGCACCTTAATTAATACATGACTTGGAAACATTGGAACATCATCAAGGCTGTATTAACTCATCATGATCCTTTTGCCTTTTTCTTTTCCTATCAAAAGCAAATCCTTACACTGTCTTTGAAGAATCAAGACGAAAGCCAGGTATTTTTAAAATTCATTTTCAAAAGGGAAAGACCGTATTTCCTCGAATAAGCGCCCACGCTTGAATAAGTGTTTACGGTCAAATAAGCGCCCCTCATGTTTCGCATGACAATTTATCATTAACTTTTAACCTTCAACTACAGCGGAATTAGTACAGGAGAATGGTTTCTTTTTCGTTAGCTCCCTTAAGGATACTTTTATCTCCATGAACTTTCAAAGTTCTCTTATGTGCGTTGTGTCTTTTGAATAAATTTTTGTCCTCTTCACGTACTCTTGGTAAATGCCATAACGTCCCAGGCACACTTAGACCATTTTCTAGCCTTCGAGGACAAGAAATTTCTACGAATAGGAAGTTATTGGGATGCGTTTGAAGGAAACAGATGATAAGGACTGATAGCCTGATAGTTCAAAGTAAATGTGGCCAACAAGCTTTAAACTGTCAGGGCCATGCACATACTTCACTCTGAGGTAAGTTCTCCCCGCTTTGCTTCTTCGTCATACTTCGTGACCTATTCCCTTTCACCTTTAGAGCAAATTAGTCTTTCCCCTTTGTTTGAACGACAAGACAGTTTTACAACTCCCTATCTCTATTTGGTCACAAACCAGTCAGGTTATGAATATGGGGAACTAGCGCTTTAGATTCATGAGACAAACAATTATCAAAGTCTATTTAAGTTCACGAATATCGGAATGAATATTCTTGAGAAGAAATTAAATAGATATGACAATACATAATGTCAAGAATCCGATGAGAAAGGGCCATTCTCAAAACCTTCGATTACTTATCGCGACTTTCTTGATCTAACTTTCGAAATTAGCCGGCGAAAGACTTAACCTAGGTTAGAAACCCATGGCCCGTTTCTTGAAAGTCCCTGTAGTTACAGTTTTGCAAAAAAAATTTTATTGGTCGTGTTTACATTCAAGATAGATTCATATAAATGATGACTTCGGATCGATATCCGTGATGTTAAGTATGTGATGTTCGACAATCGGGCGCCAGGGTATAACAACAACAGATGAAGTGAAACTGATTCTTCAATAGTTCCCTGTGAATGAATTAAAGGATGGTGACGGCGATCATTAGCTGTCAGAGTTAACAGTCCGATAGAGTGATACAAACGTAGAATAATTTATTTTTGACTGTAAGGTGATATCAATGTGAAATCGAAATGAGAGTTGCATGGTAAATAAACTTTTTTTAGATACAATGAAATATATGAAGTTCATATATTTTGAACTGCGGTATTAGATACGTATGATGCACGATCCTCGCAGTAGATAGCGCTATTTAAGCAATAGCGAAAATCAGACCTGAAAAAAATCAGGCCTGTACGGGACTCGAACCACTGACCTCTGCGATACTAGTGCAGCGCTCTACCAATTGAGCTAACAAGCCAACTGGGAGCAGGCCGTTAAGTTGATTCGTAATAAACCCGTGAAAGTGATAAATCAGATACAATGAAATATATGAAGTTCATATATTTTGAACTGCGGTATTAGATACGTATGATGCACGATCCTCGCAGTAGATAGCGCTATTTAAGCAATAGCGAAAATCAGACCTGAAAAAAATCAGGCCTGTACGGGACTCGAACCACTGACCTCTGCGATACTAGTGCAGCGCTCTACCAATTGAGCTAACAAGCCAACTGGGAGCAGGCCGTTAAGTTGATTCGTAATAAACCCGTGAAAGTGATAAATAAGATACAATGAAATATATGAAGTTCATATATTTTGAACTGCGGTATTAGATACGTATGATGCACGATCCTCGCAGTAGATAGCGCTATTTAAGCAATAGCGAAAATCAGACCTGAAAAAAATCAGGCCTGTACGGGACTCGAACCACTGACCTCTGCGATACTAGTGCAGCGCTCTACCAATTGAGCTAACAAGCCAACTGGGAGCAGGCCGTTAAGTTGATTCGTAATAAACCCGTGAAAGTGATAAATGAGATACAATGAA